ACGGCCAGCCTCAGCAGCGGCAGCCTCCTCTCCCAGGTGGGGTCGGCACGGCCAGCCTCATCAGCGGCAGCCTCCTCTCCCAGGTGGGGTCGGCATGGCCAGCCTCAGCAGCGGCAGTCTCCTCTCCCAGGGCAGCAAACAGGAGAATGAGCAACCCACCAGGGCCCTGGGATGCCCCGCAGGAGGACGAGCTCCAGGGAAAGGCTTTACGTCACCACACTCAGTGCCAGTGTTTGGGGAGTTTTCTAAAGGGAGATGCCCACTTGGAGGGCAAAGGGTGGTGGCATGGGGGCTGCCCGTAACCCCAGACATGGTGCTGACGTGGCCCCCTGTGCCTTTCCCTAGGGGCGGCCTGAGCTGACGCCCACGGCTGTCATGGCTGGGAGGCTCCTGGCACAGCGGCTCTTCGGCGGGTCCTCAGACCTGATGGACTATGACAAAGTGAGTTCTCTAGTGGGATACCTCTGCAGCCAGGAGAGGCTGAGTCTGAGGGTGGCCCTTCCGGGATGAGTGGCCTTTGTGCTCTGTGTGTCTGCACGTAGGTGTGGCATGTGTGTGGGTGCGCTTATGTGAGTGTGTAGTGCACACGTGTGTGTGTGCGAGGGTGCGTGTGGGGCTCAGTTCTCAGTGTGACGCAGGTGCGGGCGGGTGGGCTGCCTGCTGTGCTTGTAGCCTGCTCTGGGTGCATCTGGGCCTGGCCTGCAGTCACTGCTCTTAGTGTCACATGCAGTGCGGACCTTTGATTTTGGGGCCCGAGGGCCCTCCCTGACTCCAGACCTGCTTTCAGGTTCCCACGACCGTCTTCACCCCACTGGAGTACGGCTGTGTGGGGCTGTCCGAGGAGGAGGCAGTGGCTCGCCATGGGCAGGAGCGTGTTGAGGTGAGGCCCGGGAGCGGCACAGCTGAGGACAGTGGTGACTCTGAGACCTCCCTCCACACCCTGGGCGGAGGCCTTGTGAGCAGGGCACCAGGGTATCTCCTTTCCAGGGGCCCTGAGTGGTGGCCATCTGTAGCGGGAAGGGACACATTGCGGGCAGCCTTGGAAGTGGGGTTGCCTGGGCTCTGGCAGCCTTCTGGTGACTGAGCTTAGGTGCCTCTTGGCTTAGTGATCCCTGCCACCACATGTCAGAGCAGCAGGGGCAAGGCTCTTGGCTGCCTTGTTCTGAGGGCGAGGACAGACTCTGTGGCCCAGAAGCCCCCAGCCCCTCCCCAGTCACGCTGCAGGGGTGCCCAGCACCAGCAGGGTCCCCACCATGGTGCCACCCGCTTCCCTGCTGAGATCAGCTGAGCGCCGGCCCCACTCCAGCACACAGCTGCTTGTCCCTGAAAGCACCAGGGCCCTGAAGGCGCCTCTGTGCTGGCCTACCTCGCAGGGGCATGAATCTCACTCAACCCAGAAAGGCTTCTCCCAGGGACCTCTGACCTCTGTTCCTACCCTCACCTCCCCCACCACCCTGTACCTCGCCTTCCTGGGACTGCCCCGGGTTTCTCCCAGGCGAGAGTCCCCACCCCCAGCATCCAGACACCCATCCTCTTCCAGCTTCTTCCAGGCTCTGACACTCACCCTGGAGGAAAGGGGTTTTCATTGAGCAAGGCTGCTTTTGGAGTCTGCTCTGGCAGGCAGCTGTGGCCCCAGGGTGGCCTGGAGGGATGTGGGGACTCTGAAACCTGCAGGGCCCTGGGAGCTGGAAGCCTTCGGCAAGGGTTTCATTTTGCCGCTGCGGCAGCTTGCAGGCGCCCAGAGAAACCGGAGCCTGCGGCCTGGGCAGTGGGGCCTGGGGCAGTTGGGGATGAGTCACTGGGCTCCGGGCTGGCCCCTTCCCCTGCATCCCAGTCCTCTCCATCAACAGGACGGGCCTGTCAGGCCAGCCTTCCCCGAGGCACTTTATTTGCTATTTTTGTTTGATTCATCACAAGTGCGCTGGGACATATGTTCCTGGCATTTTATAATGTTGTTTTATGTTTCACGATGTTGAATGGCCAAATACCCTTTGTTTGTTTTCTTTTCAATTCTGTCTTAGTTAGAACAATATTCTCTGAAGTTCCATTAATTAATAATGGCTGTGCAGCACATGTGAGGGCCCCGCTCATTTTTTACTTGGCCGCAGCCCCGGACACGCTGTCGAACCCTTCGAGGGTGCTGAAAGCCTTTGTCCGACAGCCCTGGCTCCGGTGTGGTCATAGCGGCCTTGCTCCAGTGAGGGCCGAGGGAGCACCAGGGTCCCCGAGGGAGCCGGGTGGCCTCCTGCTCACCCGTTCCTGCCTCCGCTGCGTATGCTGTGCCCAGCCTGGGTGCTTGGGTTGCCTGCTGTGCTACTGTGGTCTCTGAGGGCCCCAGGCCTGGGTGGGAGAGGGTCTGTCCGGTAGAGCATGGCCGCCGCACGTGAGTTGTTCTGCACACACCCCATGGCCAGCCAAGCCAAGTCCTCATCCCAGACCAGACCTTCGGGCCAGATGGCTGGTTCCTGCCTGCCACGGCCTGGCCTTGCCCATGCAGCCTGTGGAAGCTGCAGGTGCCATGGGGCTTGTGTGTCCCAGCACTGACCCTGGGTTCCTATCTTGTCCCCAGGTCTATCACGCGCATTATAAACCACTGGAGTTCACAGTGCCTGGGCGGGATGCATCCCAGTGTTACGTAAAGGTGAGCATCCCTGTGGCTCAGGGCTGGGTGCTGAGGGTGAGAGGGAGGGCGGGGAAGGTTCACACAGTAGGGTGAACACCTGAGGGCTGGCCCCACCCGTGCCCCGCAGGCAGGGTACAGGGTGGATGCAGGGTGGACGCTTCTGACCCAGTCCCCTCCCGGGCTGGCGGCTGAGATGTTCGGCTTTCAGATGGTGTGCCTGAGGGAGCCCCCGCAGCTAGTGCTAGGCCTGCACTTCCTCGGCCCCAACGCAGGCGAAGTTACTCAAGGATTTGCTCTGGGGATCAAGTAAGTCCCGAGGAATGTGGCCCGATGCGCAGTGCAGCCGGGGCACCCGGTGCTGGCAGTGATGCAATGGAGAGCTTGCTGGGTTTATGTGGCCTTCGCGGGTCTGCAGCAGGTGCCTCAGGCCTTCGGCAGACAGAACAGGTTTCAGGGGGACGAGAGGCAGCTCTGCCCCAGCCAGACGCTGCTGAGCTAGAGCCGGGTGTCCGCTGTGGCCCCGGGTCGCTGCTGGGGTCCTTGCCCACCCAGCCAAGCACTCATGCTGCCACGAGCAGGGTGCCGGTGCCCGGAGAGCCACCCCAGGGCTGCCACATCTTCTGGAGCTGGGGCCATTGCCTGGGTCTTGGGCTCAGGCTGTGTGTTTTTGGGGTCCCTGGGTTGAAGGAAGCTGTGGCAAAGGCTCTGGGTGGGTTGGCAGGGGCACTTGGAGGTTAGGACACTGTTCATGGCCTGAGAGGGGCGGCTGGCTGGATGTGGGGCCTAGGGGTGCTGTGGTGAGGCCAGGATGAGCTGTCTGTGGGTAAAGCAGAGAGCAGAGGCCTAAGGCGGGACTGTGTCTGGGGGCGGGGGCTGGAACAGCAGGAAGCCAGGCCAGGGCGTGGCTGGATGGGAGGTGGGCTGGGTGAGTACTGGGTATCTGCTGGGAGGGAGGTGTACGGCTCCCACAGGTATGGGCAGGGGTCCTGGCTGCTGGCTGGGGGTCAGGGAACAGTGAGGAGACCAGCGGATTCTGAGGCCCTCCTCTCCCAGGGACAGGATGCTGTGGACCCCCTGCCCTGTGCCGACCCCCGCCTGCCTCCCCCATCCCCTGTGCGCAGGTGTGGGGCCTCCTATGTGCAGGTGATGCAGACCGTGGGCATCCATCCCACGTGCTCCGAGGAGGTAGTCAAGCTGCGCATCTCCAAGCGCTCAGGCCTGGACCCCACAGTGACAGGCTGCTGAGGGTAAGCGCCATCCCTGCAGGCCAGGGCACACAGTGCGCCACCACCAGCTCCTCGGAGGCCAGACCCAGGTAAGCAGGTGGGGCCGGTTCTGTGTGTGAGGACAGGGCACGCGGCAGGGGCGCAGGAGCCCTGGTCACGGGCTCCCTCCAGGTGTGCAGCAAGGCTACACCTGCCACGCCACAAGGAACAGGGGTGCTCCGTCCTGTAACCAGGTCACAGCCATGACAGGCAGGAGGGGAAGGCCCCAAGGGCCCAAACCTCCCCGAGGGCCACCAGACCCCGGCCTGGCCGCAGCTGCTCCCCACATGCAGGAGGTGTCGAGAAACGGGGCTCATCCTTAGCGGCCGGACCCAGGTGGACACTGGTGGAGAAGGAGCCCCAGGCGGGCTAAGGTCGGGCATCTCAAGTTGCTGCTCCACAGGGGGGCTGCTGTCGGGAAGCCGGCCTCCCCCACCCTGGCCTGGCTCCTGCAGAGCTCGGTGCCAGCTCATTTCCCTGTTGCCCAGAAGGTGGAGATGCTGCCCGATGATGGCAGCCCTGCCCGGCCCGCCCCACACATCTGGTTCTGTGCCAGCACTGCAGAGCCAGGCTGGCTGGGGGCATGTTGTTCGTCGTGATCTCTTCCGAGGAGGAAAAAACTGGCGAGGGCTCCCAGTGTCTGCCCCAGGGATGCCTGTGCATCCTCCGGCCCGGGCTGCAGGGCAGGGGCCAGGGTGGGGTGGGCCCTCAGCCTGTGCCATCCAGCCTACCTGGGGCACCCCCACGGCGGTCAGCTTCTGCCAGGGTTGGGGGTGTTTGGGCACCCTCTCTCCCCTGGGGCTGAGGTGGAGACCAGGCAGAGCAGTGGGCTCCCCCAAGGTGCCTGTGCGCAGGATCCGGGGTCCGCATGGCACCGAGGGGCTCTGGGGAGACCTCTCTGGGGCCACTTGGGGACCCCTGCTTCACTGGCCCCCCACACACAGAGCAGGGCCGCCCTCGATAGGGCTAAACAAAGGGCGCCCTGAGGAAAGCCTTATCAGAACTTCGCACCTCCCAGAGCTGTTTTGTTAGGAGCCTGCTATAAATTTTTATCATTTCAAAATATTTTCGTAGCGCTGCATCACTCCCTGTGACGCATCGCCCTGGGGTGGGGCCGCTCTGCAGGGTGTTTCTCACCCATCCCTCCCTTGGAGGTCCCTGTGTGTGGCAGTGGGAGACGCAGCCAGGGTGACTCGAGTGGTGGGTGGCTGCCCTGTGCTGACCCTTCTGTTGTCGGCAGGACGGCTGCAGGCCAGGCTTGGGGGGCCTCGCCCCTCTCCTGAAGCGCCTGTGATGGTCAGCGTGGAGCGCCAGTGCTGGACAGGTGGCCCGTGTGCCCTGCAGGGATGGCTCAAGGGCTGTCCACCTCATACCTGCACCTCTCAGCCTCTCCTGCCTGGCACCCCCCCAGGCTCCTGGTGCCAGATGATGACGATCTGGGTGGAAACCCATCCTGTGGGCACCCACATCCGAGCCCGCTGGCATTTCTGCAACGCAAATAAAGAGGGTGCTTTTTCTGAAGTGTGCTCTGCCTGTTGTGTCCCTGATGGGCCAGGATGGCCCGGGCAGGTGGGGTCTGGCCAGGCCACCAGGCCTCTCTTCAACTGTGAGTCGCTTCCATTAAGGGCAGCCCAGGGTCCGCTGGGGCCCCTCGAAGCCCTGAGCAGGATTCCAAGCAGCCCTGGGCAGAAGGGGGCAGCCTTGCAGTGCTGGGGACCCCACTGGAGCAGGAGGCAGAGCTGCCCCACCTGTCCCACCTGCCCCAGCTGCCCCACCTGCCCCAGCTGCCCCACCTGCCCCACCTGCCCCA